GGGGGCTTTCTGCCGCTCACACACATTCTACTTTTCTCTGGTTTTGCGGTTTAACTTGCTAGTGCGTTACAATATTTTTGACTTAGGAAACGAGCAAACAATAGCAACAACACAACTCAATTACACACGCACTCGAGCCAAAGACACTTTAAAGGACGCTTCAGTCGCCCGTTTGAGCCATAATATTTCACACTACGCGACTCTGTTGTTGACAATTTAAATAGACTTTTCTTGCATTTAAGCCGCTTTGATGTATGCTCTCTCCTTGTTCGCGCCGTTGTTTATTTATTTGCTTATTGATTTTCGCCATTTCGACATTTCGCAGCGCCTGCATCGCTCAGCGTTTTATCGTCGCTCCTGCCAAGCGAAATAATCAACATTTTTTCTGCCATTCTCCCTGTCACTTGGCTTTGTGTCTCCCCGGCCCATGTGTATTTTGTGGTGTGCGTGCGGTTGGTATGCAATTGAAGGTGACACTGAAATTTGCATAATTCTGTTGTCACATGTCGCATACGCCATGTATGATAGCCGCAAAAGGCAATCGAGAGAAAATAAAATCGACTGCTTTTTGCGAGGTTCAACGTTTGACTTTAAAAAAACTGAATGTGGCTTTGAACTTTTATAGGAAAATTCATTAAGTGGGGTTATGGATATCACTATGGACGGCAGTCCATGTAGTGACGAAGCGCACCAGGAGAGTGTGCGAAGGCGACTACTATATATACACGAAGAAATGAAAATCTACTGTGATGGTCCGATCATAATGAATAATACACCTATCGAAAGGTATTGCGAAAACTAACAGGATTGCATACCAAGACTTTAAGAAAATCAATTGGCTTGGGAGAGAGAGCGGTGAAAGTGAAAAAGTGAAAATTTCGAAATTTGGAGCTGTTGGGGCCGGTGGGGATAAATGCCCCCTCGCAATATTTTAGTTGTATTCCTTTTGAAAATACCCGTCGAATGAAGGGTCATTTGTCAAAATCCGACTCTCCGTTCAAAAGTTATAGTCAAAATAAGATTTTCTTCTTCTTCCCAAAATGAAAATTTAATTCTGTTTGTCAGTTTGTCCACTTGTCCAAAATATGTTTTTTAAGTTCTGAAAATTTGATATGACGTTCATCACATCGATATAAAAAACTTTTGTTCTACCACTTTTGGAAAAACCCGCTAGTTTAGCGGAAAAATAGCAATAAATAGCTAAAATTCGGAAAGCCGTAACTTCTATACTACTGAAGCTACAGACTTGTGCTGCATCTCGCTTGAAAGGTATTTTTAAATGCTATAAACGCCTTCTATATGCAATTTGTGTAAATGTAATAGTTAAAAAGATATGAACAAAAGAAAATTTGTTAAAACTTTTTTTTTTAGCTTTTTTTAATTTTCTCAAAAACGGCTCTAACGATTTTCCTTACAACTTTAAACTGTATAGCCCTTGAGATTCCTTAAATTTTGGTATATATCATGTTTATGTAAAAAATCGCGTTTAAAAGTTATTCAGAAACGAAAATAGCTACTTTTGCCAGCTCAGAACAACTAACGCTCCCTGAGTATTGAATTTTGTGGGAGGGTATCCGAACTGTATTTTAGGGTCATGGAATCAGTAAATTTGCACTTAAGAGTTCCATATAGGAATCTTTTGTTCTACGACTTTTGGAAAAAGCCGCTACTTTAGCGGGAAAAAGCTAAAAATAGCTAAATTTCGTTAGTTTGTAAGTTCTACACTACTAAAGGTACAGAGATGTGCTATACCTCGATTAAAAGGTATTTTGAAATACTTCAACGCCTTTTTAACTTAATTTGTTAAAATACAATAGTTTAAAAATTATGATTGACCAATTTAAATTTAAATGTATATATTAGCTCCTATGAGAGCAAATGTAAACAAACAAAAACTTCTGATATCAAATAAAAACACCTCTTAGGTTTTACAAGTCCCTGATAGGTTAAAAAAACTAGTAACTGTGAGCAACCGCTTTACCTTCAAACATACAGACTGTTCAAAGTTCTGATATCAACATTTGTGACGAAAAATTATTACACTCGTCATTAAATAGACTTTCTAATATTTTCTCATTCGGCACGCTGCAATAGTAAATGCCTGTAAAGGGAAAAAGGCTGGAATAGTTTGCTAGGGCGGGCCGAATGAGAAAAGATTAGAAAGTCTATTTAATGACGAGTGTAATAATTTTTCGTCACAAATGTTGATATCAGAACTTTTGTATGTTGAAGGTGCGGTCGTCACTAGTTTTTTACCTCGTTAAGAGGTGTTTTTATTTGATAAATAAGGTAATCAAAATATTGGAAATAGTTTACTTTGCTTAGCTGTTAAATTAATTATCAAGTACAGCAATTTAGTCTTGTAATTTCCATTATTTACTTTTCGTAAAAAAAAAACGCTTAACAAATGTAATTAATTTGTGGATACTTTTCACCACAAAAGAAACTAGTTCATAAATCCGATACTATTTGCATAACGATTAAACAAAAATCCGAGAAGAGTGCTTAAATTGTTTTTATAAATCAAATTATACAAACCACAATGTACACAGCAACTGTAAACTTTGCAATTCAATAAAAACACTTTCCATCAAATTGGAACAATTGCCAAAATGATTGCATTTAAGCACCAACTGCCTAATTTATTACCATTTAAATTACAGTCATCGAATTGCCAATAAACCACTTTTAATACGCCAAAATAGTTATGTAAAGCGATATTCGATTAAAACGTATAATTCCCAGAGTGAGTTTAAAAGCGTATAAAAATGATTTGGCAATTTATATTCTCGAGTTTATCTGGCTGGCTATTAGCGGGAAATTTCCCTTTCACTAGGCTCTTTTCGCTCACATAAATTGATGTAGTATTAAAGGCATTTTAAAGCCAAACTCCCCCGCACTAGATCATTCATTTGACTTTTGCTGACTCAACAGTTCAATTGAATTTTATGTTGTTGCTCGCCGCCTTTGACTATGAAATCTAGATTACAACTTTTGGCAACAACTTGTGGCGAACGTAATTACAAGCTGCCAAATGACAACCATAACAGTAACAACAAAAACAGCGACAGACTGGCTGACAGACAGAAAACCAAAGGCAAAATGAGTGACAGAAGGGTGGCAATGGCGATGGCGATGTCCTGGCAACGCTCGTCTTTGTCGTCCTCATAATGAAGCCATAAATTTCAAAAGCAAAGAGATTAGTGAAAAGTGGTCGCCGTCTGCCCTCCTCGATGCCCCGAAAATGCCTGGCAAGTGTGTATTTATTTATATTGCACGAATTTTAAAGTCATCTATTCAGATGTCACAACTTAAAGACGAAGCGGAGCGTGTGGAGAAAGTATGGCAAAAGTTAATGCACTTGCAATGCTGACAGGACCTTGGAGTTGAGCTGAGCTGAGTTGAGTGGAATGGCTGATGCAAGCATTTATTATTTACACTTGTAAATAAATATATATGTGCGAGAGTTTATGTTGGAGGGGGCCTGGTCACTTAGCAGCGGGAATTGCACATACATTCGCATTTACACTCCAGTTAACACCCCAGGGACATTGGCAGTGCCACTGAGTGCACAGAGAGAAATAAATTGATCAATTATACTATAATTTCTTTTGAAGGCAAATTTAGATGTCAACAGCATTAAATACTTGGAAAATTAGAATTAATTTGCCAAGGTGAAAGGCATTTTCAGAACAAATATATCTACAAGTTTTGAACATTATCATGTAACCAATATTTAATTTACTTACCCAATCTTAATCTTAATGTTTGTAGCGATAAAATGGTTGTTTTTTCTTAACCAAACTTGCAAATCAAATCATAGTCGTAATTCAGATGCAGTATTAATTCAAAAATAATAAATGAATTTTGCAATACGTTATTTCTACAGATAATTTAAATATCATCAGCTTTTAATAGTTTGAATATTATAATAAATTTTCCAAGGTAAAAGACATTGGTCCTAGAATGTTTTGAAACAATAATAAATACAATTGTTTATATATTTACCCACACATCAATTGTATTACTGTTTTTTAAACACTTTAAGAATTAAAATTAAAGTCGTCACTTATTTAAATTATAATATTATTTTTAAAATTATATTTTGTTGTGCCCTGGGATGCCTAATTCATTCTTTGAATGTAACTACAAGTTGAAGGAGCTACGCAATTTTACGAATGCTGCGTTGCACTTTTCCGCTTTGGACATGTAGATGTACTGGCACTCTCGTGCAGTTTATATAGATTATATACATGGATTTGTGAAGCAAATTTGTATTTATGCTGATGGCTGGGCACCCATGACACTCGCTTTTCCACTGGGTTGGGGTTGGGTTGTCTTTTCCTGGTCTCCTGACTCCAGACTCCTGGTTCTTTATTCTTGATTCCTGACTCCCAGCACATTATGTGCCCCATTTAATGTCTATGTGCAGCACACACGACGCACACAAGCCCTCTAGCACATACTCTCGCACACACTTACACGACCAGTGAACGTCAAGTGGCGATTTACATTAGTTTTATTGTATACGAAATTAGCAGCATTTAGCATTTAGCAGTAGCAGCGGCAGCAGCCGGCAAAACTTTTGCCTCTCGGCTCCATTCACTTTGCCTCATCCGCATCCACATGCCCCTCCTCATCCCCATCCTCATCCGCAGTCAAGGGTTTGTATGTTAGATTTGTTTGCTCGTATGGCTGCACTGTCGCACTTGGCATATCAATTTTGCCGCCCGGCCCCAACCGCCCACTCCCCTCAGGACATTTCAAGGTAACAAATCGATTTTGTTAATGAAAACGAAGGAAAACTTCAAGGGAAAAGCCACCCTGGGGATCGGAAGCCGATTGAAGCGAAAGTTTGATATTTGTTGGGGGAAACAATGGCCAATCTGCGTGATAATGGCATTCCCGAAGGTTTATTATGCAGCCTCCAAGCTTTGCTTTTTCTTTTCGATTTGCCTTTAAGAACCAAGTCTTTATTTCCCAGATTTAAATACTTTACATTTTAGTTTGTGTATTTAGTTTTTATTGGGTTTTGTTTTTTTTTGTTCCTAAGAAAGTCGGCCATACAAATCCTTTAAATGCATAACTTTAACAAAAATATATGTAAACAATTTCAGGCAGACTTTCCCGGTTGAAGAAAAGTAACGTATGTGCAAAAACAAGAAACCTAAAATTTTTATGAAACCGTGTAGAAGTATGCAAATCTCCTGTATCTAAACCAGATGGCACTCGTTGACCAGGACGACGTCGTCCTCGACCATCTCGCCATTGCGATTGGCATGGTGCTCGTGGTGAATGGGACAGCTGACAATAAGCTCCTCCTTGGGCTCCATCTTCGCTGCCTCCTTCTTGCCCTTCTTCGCCGGTCCCTTATCCTTGCCGCTCTTCAGCTTGTCCTTCTCCAGCTCCAGTTCCAGTTCCAGGTGATCCCCCAACAGGTGATCGATGACATCGGGGTTGTTGCGCAAAGCCAGATCCATGGCGCCATCGAGAAACTGATAGAGGGGCGAGCTGACGCGATGTTGCGGTTCCTTCGGCGGTTCCACCAAGACAGTTCCCTCGAAAGGGGGCTGCTGCAGCAGCTGTTGCAGCATGTAGAGCATCGGTGGCAAAGCCGGCGAGGATTTGTGCTTGCGGTGGTGCTTCAGGGGAGCTGAATTATGGAGTGGACCACGGAGTGGAGTGTTCTCGGCTGCATTCAGCAGCAGCACTCCGGCCAATTCCGGTGGCAGGACTTCCGGGCCGTAGCTGAGCTCCTGCTGCACGCTCTCAATCATCATGTTGGGCGCCAGCAGCTCGAACTCCTTTAGCTCGTGCTTGCCATCCGGCGAAACCAGCTTGTTGTAGTACACATAGGGATTGGTGGGTGGTGGGCGAGTTGGCAACGGGGTGGCCTCCCCGATTGGCGACGCTTGTGGTGCAATGGTCGCGGCTGCAGGCTGCTGTCGTCCATTAGGCTACCCAAACGCCTCTTGGGACGACGCAGCCCCATCAGATCCTCCAGCTCGATTTTCCCTTCATCTGAAGGCGAAGGCGAGGATGTGGAAGCCATAACAGCCAGTGCTGATGAGGTGGTTGTGCTGGTGGCATTCGTGGTCTTTCCATGATCCACCGTTGTGCGCTTGGTTGCAGCTGTAATTTTCTCCTTTGAAGATGTGGTTGCAGCTGTGGTAGCGGTGCTATTGGCCAACAAGGTGGCCTTGAGGTTCAGTGAAGCATCGTTGCCCGTGACCTTGGTCTTGTTATAATCAATGGCAGCATCGCCTTGGGAACGCTTCATGCGCAGGCAGTGGCCCATCAGCGGTCCCATCATCATTATAAGGGCACCTAAGCCATTAAAAACAAAATTACAGATCATTTTAAGACCAATAAGCTGTTAGTTTTTAAAAGATCCCCAATACTTACACCCGAAGATCAGGGAATAGTTCATCTTGTTTGGCTTGATAGACAGCGCTGTGGAAGACAGGTGAGTGGAAAACGTTAACCGAAAATTGACCACAATTATTTTAGATTGAATATTTTTTCCCGTTTTTTTTTTGTTCTCCACCGAAATAGTTACTATTTGAACTCACTTTATTTGATTGGAGTGGGTTCTACGTGTGCTCGACACAAAGTTTGTACTGAAAATGATTCGAAATGCTCCCTGCCTCATGGCGAGGCTTTGACAGACAGCTGGGGAGCTGGTAAAAGGTTACTGGGGCTCAACAAAAAATCGAATTTCAATATTTTTGTGATGGGAATTTTCCATACACCACCCACACACTCCCATTTGCGGCGACCTTTTCAAGTGCTGCAAATGGCAGCAACAGCAACAGCAAAAGCAACAAAAAGAAAAAAACCGCGCACAAACAATAAGTTTGTTTCGTGAGCCGCAAACAAAAGCAAACAGTGGAAAAAGTTTAGCTTATAAATTTCCAATCAATTTTTCGTGCAAAAATCAAGAGCCCCCACACACAAACACACCCACAGGCACACACTCAAGTGCTCATATAGTCTGTGAGTGTGTGCGAGTAGCTATTACTTGATTAATAAATATTAGCAGGAAAAATTGGAAAATTCTCAGTGAAGCGTAAAAATGCAAACACCCAAACGGAAATGCGATACATTTGCGAAATGGCAAAAGCATTTTCCAAAACACCGTTGCTCACCGACGCACATGCACACACACACGCACAGGACTACCCATTTACTCGGTCTAATTTTGATACCCCTCTAATATAGAACCGCCAGAGATATCACTTGCAGGAATTTACAAGTATTTTGAGAGATAATTTTGAAATAGTTTATTATAAAATCAGTTTGTACAATAAATTCAGTGCAGTAAAACACATGTATAGAGGACATTTTAAAAATTTCCAAAAACACGGATGCTCATCCACGCACTTGCAAATGTACTAATTTGGCACCTTTCTAACAGAGATATCTATTTCTAATATTTATAAATATTTTGTATGAATAATTAGGAAATAGTTTGTGACAAAAGTTCTACAAATTTATTTATATTAGAACAAAAAGAAATCGCTTGTACAGTGGACATATTAAAAATGCTAGAGTCGAAGGCCACCGCAGCCAGTGCTCGGTAACATATAATTAAGTTTAACATTGTATGCTAAGCTTAATTTGTTAAAATAAAATAAATAAAAAATGCTACAATATAAAAAATATATATATGGTTAAATATGAAATCCATGTTTATTTCTTTTTTTGATTAAATGATAAAATATATACATACAGTTTCTAAAATATCTAAAATATAATTATTTTTATAAATATTTTTGTTTTGCCTTAATAAAGGGTATTTCCATCTCGAACCTCTCTTACTCAGACTGAAACTTGTACTTTCTTGTGACGCCTTCGGCTGGAGGCATTAATAATGTAAAGTGCGTGCGTCAAATGTAAATTCCTTGCTGCCAACGCATGCGATTTCATAAACTTGCGACATTTCCAACAAACAATTCTTTTCGCCCTTCAAGCCAACTTGACGCTGGCGCTCAGGTGGAAGAGGGGCTTTGGAGGGCGGAAAATAAAGGGGGCGCCGAGGAGAAGGCACTTTTGCTTATCAGCTTAAATGTAAATGCCAAGCGAATGCAGTTGAGAAGGGCGGAGGGGCGGCAGCGGGGCGTGGCTGAGCAGCAGCTGTTGCTGCATTGGGGATTTGCACATTTATACTCGAATATTGCTACACCATCCCCCTTTTCCTGGTCTCGTTTTCTTTCTTTTTTTTTGTATCTGCCAAAGTTGATTTTTGGAGTGTATTGAATAAAAGTCGATTTTCCCCCACTGGATTTGTGCGCGTTCGACAAGCGGCTTAAATGCGTACCGTTAATACTCATATCCCTTTTGCATATGTCTGGGTGTTGGGGGCTTTGGCTTGAGTGGGTGTGCGTGTTTTCGCTTTGATGTGTGAGTGTGTGTGTGCCCTGGGTTAAGGTCGTGGCTTATTAGGGGTCCACAAATCCTCAGCCGCAGTGCATCAGCCATCAGCTCGATGGGATTTGCACGCAGACACCGCCCGGGCTCCCAAGGCGATCCGCTATAATTGGTAGCGAAAAATCACGCATACGCCGTGATGGTTGCTGATGGGTCAAGTGGAAAGAGGAGGGAGAGGGTGAGACTGCTCTAGCCCGTTGCTTTGATCTCGGCCGGAATCACAGAGGCAGACTCAGCCAGACTCTCTTATTAAATGTTTCCCTTTCGATTTGATTCGGTGGCGAAGGACACTCAGCCGACACTGGCTTTGTAAACTTTCATTAGTTGCCTCGTTAATATTCCGATTGTTGACACACAAAAGGGAGGAGACCGGCTGGCTTAACCTGTGTATAAAGGAATTTAATTAATAACGTCCTCCGTCCTTTTGCGTGTGCAGCGCGGCGTAAACTTAATTAAATGCGCAAGTGGCAAGTCGCAAGTGGCAAGTAGCGAGGGGCACAGCGAAGCGACAAATGACAAGTGGAGATGCAGCAGCACCTCGAGAAATCCAGGTGCAAAGGTTAAAGGTAACCACTGTATAGGGGTGCAAAAAAAAGAGGAGAATAATCCTGCCCCCACATGTCAACAATTTTTATTGGCCCAAACGCTACTTTTACGGCTACTGTTAATAGTGAAAAATGGTGCAACAAAAGCCGAAATGATGCCAGACGCTTAGACAAAACCAGATGGAAATGGGAAATGGGTTATGGAGGTAGTGGCAAGTTCATAAGATGGCCATAAAACAGCGAGTTGTGGCTCAGCGACTTTAATGCGTTTCCATGTTTACGAGTTTAGTGCGCCGGGTTTATAACCTGTAACTGGGGGCAAAGTTTATTAAGTTTATGCCAAGTGCATCAAATATGCAAAACCGCTAAAGTTGATCATCTTGACTGCTCGATGGATTCGAGGGTCTCACGGAGATGTCTCTTAGCATAATCGCTGGTTATTGCTATTGGACGGGTCGGCCATCACTCATCGCTGATTTTATGAAATTCACAATTTCAGTTGTTGCTCCAACTGCTTTAAGCTGTGAGTCATAAAATAAGTTCACGTTTTCTGAGAGAATAAGTCAATTTTGGGTTCATTTTATTGTCGATAAACCAAGTTTTTCAGAATACATAAATTTGATTAATATATACAAAAATTAAATATAGGTACTTTTTTAAGCAATGCATAGCAATTACAATTTTTTTTTAAAGCTAGGTATATTTTTCGTATAATAGTTTAAGCAGACTTACTAAGTCATATTTTCTACTTATTTGTGTGTCAAACTCCAATTTTTTTACCTGGCCAACAAAATAACAAATTATTTAACAGGAAAACAAAAAATATGAATATTTTATCTAACTTCCTATTTTCACAATGACACTTTTATCCCTCCTTTAAATTTTAAACTTCTTATTTGAAATAAAAGGAGGTTTATTTTCACGGCGTGCGAAAGAGTTTGAACTGTGATTTGCAATCAAACTATAAAATGCACCGGCATTTCGGACAGCTTTTACTGCACACGTTTGACAGACGACGACTAAAGGAGTAACGCCCACACCCCGAATTCTAAATCAATTTCAGTCGAACGCCTTTCGCCTGCCATTGATTTATGGCCCACGTCCAAACGTCGTCTAAGTGGAAAAGCCGAACCGAAAAGAGGCGCAACTTTGCCGAATTATATTTCAATTTGGCAGCGAAAATGAAACAGAAACAGAGCAATACACAATGAACGGGCGTGGCCGGGGAAAAGATGTTAAAAACTTTTTGACAATTGACTTAAAAAGTTTCCTCAAGCTGGCAGAAATTGACTGCCTTTTGTATACAAATAGGCCGAATTCATCCAGGCCACCATCATCACACACACACACATATGGACGGGAAAAAGCGGGAAAGGGCGGAGGAAATGCTGCCGCGGCCATGGAGCGGAAGTAAACACATAAAACGGAAATGAAAATTCAATTATTTCGTTACGATTGTTCAACTTTTTGTTGTTTTCAGTGTGCCACCGCTGTATATGTGTTGTTGCTGTGCCCGTTTCGTGTGGCAGGCGGATACCGAAAAAAGTTTAAAATTAAGTTAACGTGCAACTCGAATCGTGGGTCAGCACATGCAACTTTCGCTCGTTTTGGGCAAATTCAATTTTGGCTGGTACTCTTTTTTTTGGGTCATATGGCCGTTGCGAAACGAAAGGGCCACACATTTAAATTCGATTTTTAACAGTCGCTTCACGCACAATTAGCCTGTCGAATCGATTCCTCAGCTTCGATTTGGAATCCCAAATGCACTTAGTACAGAGTACAGTACGACTCACGATGTTTAATAAAGAGGATGCCTTTCATGGTGTTATGGCGGCGGTGGCCCTGGTGGCAGTGCTCTATACCCGAAGGGGATTACAGCAGGGTCTGCAGGAAATGCGATGGCGACTAACTATACATTCGCTTACCGTTCGAGATACCTATGGAAGTCCCGTGCAGCTCCAAAGTTTTTCCGGCCAGGTGATGCTCATCGTGAACATTGCTTCCAAGTAAGTATGTATATAATATTTTATATTCCTGAAGGAAAGTTTACGCTGGTATAAAGTAACACAAGTTGATCGAAGATGGTCTTAAGTACCTTACGATTTAAATTTTTAATTTTGGGATACTTATTCTTTAGAAAGCCGTTACCAAAAAATAGTTCGTCAATATAATTTTTGTTAAAAAATTGTATTATTTTTTTTATTTTTATTTTTAAAACAGAAAAACACTGCTTTACGATTTTTAGTTTATTCTGATAAAATATGATTCAAATTTCTGTCTTTAATTGCCATTTCTAGTCCCTTGAAAATTATAACATTACATCATAAATGGTTTTCATCCTTAAGTACTTATAACCCTCTGAACTACAGATTAATGTATCATTTAGATTTAATCTTAAGTAAATTTTTTTCCTAATTCCAGATGTGGTCTCACTTCCTCTCAGTACGATGGTCTGCGACAATTAATGGAGGAATACGAGGAACGCGGCTTGAGCATCCTGAACTTCCCTTGCAACCAGTTTGGCGGTCAGATGCCCGAGTCCGATGGCCAGGAGATGTTGGATCACCTCCGCAAGGAGGGCGCCAATATAGGACACCTGTTTGCCAAGATAGATGTGAAGGGAGCTCAGGCAGATCCGCTGTACAAGCTCCTGACTCGCCAGCAACCCGATATCGAGTGGAATTTCGTCAAGTTCCTGGTCGATCGGAGGGGAAACGTGTACAAGAGATATGGCGCTGAACTGGAGCCAGTTGCCCTGGCCCATGACATAGAGCTGCTGCTAGCCGATGCGTCCGAATAAATAACGCAACATGCGCAACATTCTGCTCACTGGCTTTCATAACTGTGACAACGTCACGCGCTATCATTGGGGATTACTGCTGCTGATGTTGGCATCACATGCCAAGCGATTTCTTTCCGTTGGTCTTACCTGGTTTCGCCTGTCACCTTTCCGCTGACTTCTGTCAGTTGCAAATGGCCAAAAGGGGCGACCTTTTGCTCTGCTGCACTTGTCACTTTGCTTTATCAAATTGCAGTTACGGTTGCAGCTTGGCCCACGTCACGTCAACCATCCGCCCAGTGTGACACAATCGAGTGGGTGGGGTGGTATTGGATGTAGGAAGCAGAGCCCAAGGGCGCCAATCGAATGCTTTTTGACCTTGGGTACAACTTTCTTTCAAACTGTTTAAGAGCGCCGTAGTATTTTGAGCAGCGAATTGCAGCAAAATGAAAACAGGCATTTTGATTTACATTATTTATTAAGTCAGTTTCTTTGAAATGTTTTAAAAATGATTTCCGTCTTTGTGACCTTGAAAATATACGTATACCAAAGGGAAAGCTAAACAAACAAGTAAGAACTTTTAAGTGGTTTTGTCCATTAATTCTTAATTTTATTGTAGTTGTAAAAAGTATTTTGGAACAAAACATATATATTTTAAAAAACCTTTAAAATTAACCACAATTTTTAGAAACAATGTATATAATTATTTTAATTATTACCCTGTTTGTTTAATTCATTTCTTTTCCGAAAGCAACCTAAAAGCCCCGTTTTACATACATTACAAAAACCTCAAAAATGTCCGCTTGTCTTAAAATTTTTGAAAAATGTACAAATGCTTGTTATGGCAGGGAATGCATCTGGCCAAGGTCTAAGCGGAATTCGGCTAGCCAGGACAACTTCCTGGAATGCCTCTACGAGTTTGTGCAACCGCAACGGAGCCTGACTCCTGCCGCCATGGATGTGGATGTGGATGCCCCTGTTGCAACCTGCCTTTCGCTTCTGTTTCTGCTTCTGTTTCTGACTTGGCTTCTGTTTTGGTTGCCACTCCTTGTTGGCATGCAAACAAGCTCTTTTCTGCCGGCTGCAATATAAAAACGTGCCTGCACATTTGCCACATGCTTACGCCTCCCCAGCTGTACGTGTGTGGGTCTCGTCCTATGCGCTTCAATGTGTGTGTGTGCTGGGCGGCACGAGTGCCTCCGTGTGTGTTTGTGTGTGTGTGCAGCGTTGACAGTAACCGAAATTGCCACAATTTGCGGCTGTGTACAATTTGGCCACTCATCAATCTGTGCACATGTTAACCAAAAAACCATTACAAACAAGTCAGACAATATCATGAAAAAGGGGTGGGAATAACACTTACATTTCCGGTTACGCATACACCATACATGTATTTTCCCTTTATTCCATATTTAGTTGGTTTTTTTTCGTTCGCTTGGAGATGGAGCATCAGTTGGGTAATTTTGTTTGATGAGCGCATTACGTTTGCATTTTATATTCCGGCTACCAGGTCGTATGTGCGATATCCTGACAAGTGGAGGCATGTGGAGGCAAGTTATTACGCGTACGCCATGGTGGCCTCCTCGCTTACCTAACCCCTCCCCCACCCGCCGAAAAGCAAACCAATTTAATTTTTCAACAGAATCGTTTGTCGTCGTCGTTTGGCGGGCGACGTGGAAAAGCCTCAGCGAAAAAGTTGGTTTGTTAGTTGGTTTGGCATTTGTTCGGTTGCCTGAGTTGAAACTTAATTAACATTTGATTGATAAAGGTTGCACACACCGACATTCTCACACTCACAAGCGCCATTTCATGCGTATTGGTGGGCGTGTGTGTGTGTGCGTGAGATTGTTGTCTGCATGCAAATGAAAATTTTCAATGCCGGCGGCGCATTCTCCATTCTCCAGTGATTATTTATGCGAGTGTGTTTGAGTCTGCCTGTATGCGTGTTCGAAATTTTAATTAGTATTATAAATTATTGCCAACGGTGTAGTAATTAAATGTGCGTGTATGTGTGCGCCTATCAGGTGAGGCAGCGCCGAAGATAAAGCTGAATTTTAGCCAATTAAACTTGTATGACAGAAGCGCTCAACCCAACTCACGCCTAAAATGGCCCCCGAAAAATCCAACAACTCATCCACAAATCTCTGGGCTAATTCATTGTCTGATCCTGGCTAAATATTTCGTTTAAATTTGCATGCTAAAATCACCCGAATTGTGTGGCATTTGGCATTGATTTGCCTTTGATTTGATTTGGACAACGTCAATTGAATTTGGCGATTTCATTTTTCATTTTTTTTTTGCTCAGCCATTGCTAAGCTGCTTAGCACGCCCCCGCCTCCCCCATTTTGCCACGCCCTTTTGTCACATGTGTCCGTGCAGTGGGAATTGCATTTTTCTTATCGCCTTTGCTAGCCATGCAAATGGCAAATCGCAAATGGCAGATGGCAGAGAGCGGGCAAAAAAGGACTCTGAGTCTGACTCCGAGGACGAGGATGGAAGATAGAATGACACAAAGGCCACAAGAAAAGCAAAGAGCCAACCGAGCACTGAATTCAATTTGTGCACTGAAAGTGCTGCAAAATGAACAGAGTTCCAACAGCAAAACCTGATCTGGATGAGCAATACGTTCGAAGCTCGCAGCTCGATTTCAATCATCATTTGACTCACTTTATCATATTAAAAATTTATTGATATTCGCCCAAAAGACCCATAAAATACTTCAACACATTTGCCCCCGAAAATGGCAGAAAAACAAAAAGAAAGCTTTGCGTAGCAAAGGAAAATTCAATAAATTGCCTGGCTCGACATAAAATAATGCTGCATTATAGACTTTAGCCGCCCGCGGCAAAGTAACCGCCAAATGTTGCCCTGGAGAGCAACCAGCAAACACAACAATAATGACAACAAAAGCGGGAACAATGTGGAATCGATGAGCATAAAGCAACCTTGAATGTCCTTTATCGTCAGCGAGGATACATTAGTCGCTTCGTTCTATTGAAAGTATTTATTATATTTATAAATATTATAAGTATTCCAAAATGTTAGATGTTTTTATATATTTTCTTAAAATGTTCTTAATTTCAATATGGATAATTGTTTATGGTTTGGTATGGGTTAACCATATATATTTTAAATTCATTTAATTAATAAATAAAATTCACCGCAAAATTTAAATTTTAAACAAACCCAAACAAAGAACAACAGTATTTAAATAAACACAAAAATTTCTCTAAAATTTCGCCAGCAAAAACTCTGGAACTGGGTTCGTTAAACGTATAATTTCAACAAAATTTCCAAATTCGCATACAATTCGGAAACGTTTGTTTACTTTTGAATGTAAACAGAGAGCAACCCAGCGCAATCGGTGGTCTCATAAATGTTTGAATTTCAAACGAACTGGAAAGAGTATGCCACCATCGAGGGATAGGCCTCCGAATTTGGCTTTATCTCTGCTACGGGTAATTCAAATTGTCGCCGACGAAACAATGACAGTGTCAGATGGAAAGACTCGAGACTGCGACTGCCGACTGAGGGACCCCTTCAGGAATCGATTGCTATTTATGTTTTATGAGACGTAAAATGATTGAGCCAAACGGAAGGCGGCAATCCAAAAAATGCCAAATAAAAGCGGGTGGAACTGGGTTGGGATGGGTGGCGCGGGGTGGAAGTGGGCCCGAGACAGCTGCAAAAGTTTATCGCCAAGGCAGACCGCATTAAATGCGGGACACACGCACATTTACGCATCCCGACGTCAGATAAAGGCGTACGTTTATACCATAGTGTGTGCAATGCTTGGGGAGGATGTCCGCTATCAGGAAAAGCGTTTGCCTGACGTTGATGGAGGACAGTGGGGGAGGGAGTTAGGCGGACCGGGGAAAAGCGTGTAAATTACAGCCGCCAGTTTTTCTCGTTTTTCGGCTCCTGCTCTTTGTGTGTATATCTTGAAAAGTTTGGCGTGTGTTGTTGTCATGACGGCTATCATCTTAACTTGATGTGGTGTTAAGCATTGTGTTGGTGTTGTTGCTGCACTCGAAATGATGAACTGACAGATTTCCCCTTCTTTACGAGTGTGTGTAGTCTCTTTTCTTTAAGTTACTTTAATACTCCGCTTCGACAATAATCCCCGAATTGGTGATTGAAAATTGCGCTTTCCTAATTAATCTTAATTAGTCAGTTCTGTCTTGTCCGCGCATTCATCGATCAAGCAAATTCCTCCACACACTGTATTAAATATTTACCCGCTTACATACATAGTGGGGGTTATTGTAACGCTAATGACTAAATAATTGATCGAAAAGTAATCCCGACTGAGCATAGAGCATAGAAGAAGAAGCGCCAGCCGTAATGCAGCTTTTCAATTTGCTAGACCAAAAATGGCGCTAAGCGGCTTACGGTCGCATGTGTGTGTGCGGCTAAGTGAATAAAAATCTTTTTGCACAATTCATTAAACGCAAATTATGCCCCTGAGATGGTGCTGCATTGTGCCGGGCTGCCTCCCTCTTTTTTTTCTCTTTTTGATGGTATTTGTTTGCGCGGCACACGCGAGGCATACGAATTTAATATGAACTCGCACAGAAAACAGAATCCCCAAAAAGGATTCACGCACACATGCAAAGTGGGATTCATATGAGACAGTGAGAGAGAGAGGTGGAGAGACAATGAACCCGAAGGACACGACTGAATCAAGGTAATAAAGCGAGCCTTCCTTTTGCACAACTTGCCACTTGTTGTTGTCGCGCCTAACAAAACTTTTGCCCGCTGGCGAAGCGGAGGAAACGGCCACGATATAGATAAATACAAGTTGACAGGACAATTTATTGTCACAGTTAGCGCCCGGCCAATGCCATTGTTATGTAAAAGAGCCATCGCCGTCACCATCGCCCAATGGGGCGGGTGCTTTTTGGCATTGCGTATACGCAATTTCGGCAGCAGCCATGAAGCGCATTCGCATTGACGTCACGTTGCAGGCGCCCCTGTTCGTGTGCGAGTTGATTTGGACACCAGCAGGTGGCATTGCTGCTGTAGGTTGCACGCAAAGAAATCGAAATTAGCTAAATTTTAGGAATAAAGCTGCATTTTATCATTCAATCAAATCTTTTAGGACCATTTATAAAACAATTGATCCAGATATTATTTACAGTCCTAGATGGGTCGAAAATAAATAAAAATGTGGGCCAACGTCACTCTTTCTTGCCGGAAATAAATAATAGATATTTTCATGATTTTTATCAAAACCTTGAATGTCCAAAAAAATTCTATCAAATGTATTTGTCAGCTTTGCTTTTAATTTTATCGTGTGCCTTGAGCCCCTTTTCTCTTCTTTTGTGTCTATTGACCTGTGTATGTAATGTATTTACGTATTATCTGCACGATTAGGGGTGTGGAGAAATTTTCCTATTTGTTTTCAGTGTGCCTTGGTTCCCGGTGTGCAGTGCACAGTGGGCACGTGCTGGGGATAAGCAGTCCGGCCATCGGCTGAAGGACACGCATCCCTGCTCCAGTTCTCCCTGCGGCTGAGTTTGCGAGTGTGCGAATGGTTTTATTGCAGGATGGTCATGCAATATGTATAAGCTGATTGCCGGCAGTCCAGCATGGCAGAGGAACAAACAACCGACACAATTACGGCAGCAATCTTAAACAATCATTGACAGCCTCCTCGTGCGCAACTATTTTCCAACAGGTACTCGTACGGCACTCGCCCGCCTTTTCAACGCTCGCTCCGTTGTCTTTGCATGTCAAAGGATCAGAGCAGCCGTGTGGCCTGCCCCAAAGATAAAAGCTCAAATTGAAATTCCAATCGGGTGCTCCACTCGGGCCAAAGCCGTGCCAGTGCTGGCTTTTTATTCGCCTTTTGTTGCCCCCAGTCGTTGTTCTTGTTTATTGAAACAACGGAGCAACAATAAATTTTGTAGCGCATACTTCAAATGTCAAATGCGGCAGCGATAAAAATTTCTTTATTGTACCGCACCCGAACACTAACGCTCGTACGATAACATATCCGCCTGTGTGTGTGGCCAAGATGGCCAAGACCTGCGGCCCAATGCATTCTCTTTTGGCCAACTCGGTCGGACTCCACCAAACTGTTTGGCTTTGACAGTTTTTGCAATTTATATTTATTTCGAGGGCTGCACAAACCATCGGATACGCATAAGTAAACCGACCCCGGCCCCCAATCGCCCGACCCTGCATAAATTAAGATAATCGCGTTTAGTTCGCCCTGACTTCGGCTGCGACTTCGGCTTCGGCTGTCAGATACTTGGCTGCATAATTTATGGCCCCGTGAAGTGGCGAAACCTTTCAACCGGCCGGAACTTTAATTTTGTGTAATTGAACTCCAGCTGCGGTGTTCCCATAATCAATGTTGACAACTTCAATGGGTTAATGGCTAGCTGCTCGCTTAATGAGTTAATGCTCAGGACGCCCGCTGGCAAGTTCGCTGTGAGTGGTGCACAGTGAAAAGTGGGTTGTTCAAATATCTATTCTATTATCAACTGTTATTATCTGGAAGAGATTTTCTTTTATTATTATTTAGTATTATTGCTCCTACCTCTACCTAAGACGCAAAAATTATCAATGCCTAAAAGTCTTTGTTGACCTTTCAGTAATAATTTTAAAACACAGGGGCTTGGAATTCATGTTTAAAGTATACAGTAAAGAGTGTAAGTGTAAGTGTAAGCGTAAGACAAAATAATAATTAAATTGACTTTAATTCTAGTGAATTATGTGATCCAATACGATTTAAAGGTTTTTTGATTGACGTTTTCGCCCTAAGCTCTATAAAATAAGTATTCAAAACTGTTTGTAATGAAAGCGTTTGTTTTAAACACAGATAGAACGCAACACCATCATAAATCTAGAGAATTGTTAGAGTTTTCCGGTGAAGAAAATGAGCGTATAAAAGAGAGAACAAAAGAGTAAAAACGCAATAACTCAGAAGACAATGACCAAAATTATAATAACCTCTGCAAGGGTTTAATAAAAAACAGATTACTTTTATTTTTAGGGAGAAAAATCAGATAACAAAGCTAAGATCTGTTTCTCAGTGTATTTCCAATCCTTGAGAGTAGTTGGCAGGAATTGAAATTAAAACCCGGTGGAATTGTACTCTAGACTCGATTACTGAATTAAAGTTTTAAGCCGAAACTTCTTGGCCCAATTCTGGGAAGCCCAGATGCCAGATTTGCATAAGTATGTCCAGTCGAGCTGGACGAGTTCATTGCAGCACGTGCTACCCATGCTTAAGCACACATTGTGGTCTGAAGCCCTTTGACCTTTGCCAAACAAGCTGGACCTCGGACCGGTCTGGTTATTATTTTAATGGCCTTTTGAAGTGGCTGCTGTTGTTGCTGTTGGCAATGACCAGGCCATGATTTTAATGCCAATTTAATATAATTTTTATGCTCGGCCCTTGGCAAGGCTCTAAATACGTGCCAAACGAAACCGAATCGAATCACATGGCATCGATATTGCGGCAATGATTTGGCGTATTTACTCGTGAGCACAGAGGAAATGGCAGCATATCATGCTGGGGATATTAAACGGAAATCGATCGATGCTTTTCTGCCATGGTTACGCGGGGAAAAGCCAGACAGACTGACACTTGGTCAGCTCTGACTTTTTTTTTCCTGTTTCCACAGTCAAATTGAATCCGCGCTTTTGGGTATAAAATTAATTTTCCACAGCCCCGCAGCTCAGACATAAGTTGTCCCTTTTTGCCGTTTGGGCAGACCTAATTAAATGCAGCTGGAAAACAAAAACCTACCGTTGACTTGCTCAAGAAGGCGAGTGCAAATTGACAAACTTTCCGGAAACTTTTCGAGTGGTAACTGGTGGGGGATTCAACATGTGGAAGGAGCATTTTTTAATTAAAATTTCCTCACATAAGGGAAATGCCGCTGATGCCACTCGTAGTTAGTTTTTGCTGTAATTAGCCGAGTTGTTAGTCGAATTCAGCCGCAGTTCTCCCACCTCTCATTAACATACATTCTCCTAATTGCAGGAATAAACTTCTTCCGGCTGTGGGGTTTTTTTTTATGCGGATTTACTCAGACTCCGAGCCACTTTTCATCAGTGTCATCAATCAGCTTCAAAAAGGCGTTTTAGTTTTTGTACAGCATGCCAAACCAGAAATGAAAACATGAAGAGGCGGCATTACAACCAAATACTGCGATACTTTATAATGTAAATTTATACATGTTCGGGCTATTTTCAACGTGAAAGGCTAAGATTTTATTTGTATACAAATCACACAAAATATTTTTTAAATCCAAAGATTTGCTTTTAATGCGACCATTTTTTGTTATAGAGAAGTTTTTAGTTAACTTAAATATCTAAGATAATAGTTCGGACTTTAATTTTTGAGACATATTTTGTTTACTTTTGATAATTATTTTGTATATATCTAAAGATTTAGATGATACCGGTAAGTAAGAAATGTACGGGAAGGTTATTTTTGTTACGTTTCTTGTTTTTAAATCGATATATAGTGTTGTAAAATGTTATCAAATGAAGATTAAACCATCTGAACTGTTAGACCTTTGACTTCATACGGAGGTGGGTTTGGGTCCTCTGGAGCCGTAGCTTGGGGTACTTCCTTTTTTTCATCGGTTTCCACAACCTTAGCTTGATTTAAGGTGGCTGTGTTGATCTCCTCAACGTAGACTCTGTATATTAGAGCACCCATGACCACAAGCAGAACTGAAATTGTTCATTTCACAATTATTTTAAACTAATCATGTTTCATACAAATAAACTTACAGATATACGCATACAGTATATAAAAATCCAGTGAATACCTCCAGTAACTTTCTCTGATTTCGTAGATTAATGTTGCGATGAAAATCACGGATGCACTTAGCCAAATAAGACGAATGTTGGCTCTGTGTTGCTTTTGAGCCATCAATGTTCCGAAAAGGAGAACTCCAGAAACGCAAATTATCAGAGCCTTTCCCCCCTTTGCCAGGTCTGAACGTACTGCAGAATAGTTTACAAATTAGCCTCATCAACTTGGAAAATATGTGTATTTTTACCATTCGGAAACAATTGTGCAGGATCTGCGGCCAAGAGGATATTGACCATGGCAACGGTCAGTTCCAGTTTTTTTCCCATGAAATACATTTCGCTTCCACACTTCGATCTCAACTGAGCTACGAGAAGGCCCCCTGAAACTTAAAAATTCTTGTATATACAAACAAGATAATACACAGATACGTTTAAAGTAAACAGAGAGAATGACTCTTGATCCGACACACTTCTATAAAACGGCTTGATTTCTTTTCTGAACTCATTTGACACCAAGCACAGAAGGGCGGAAACTTATGAAAAGTTCATACGACAAAATGAATGCATAACTAATTCGACAACACACACTCGCTCACACATTGTGCATTCATGTTTATTTGATGGATGAACTTTTCGACACTTTGTGCATTAGAAAGTTTTACTAGTTTGGACTTTAGTGGCAATTATATTTACATTCAGCCAACTCTGGCTCTGAGCTCTTAAGTTTTTCGGCTTTGACGCCGGGCTTAAACAGGTGACGGTTGCGAAAGATTCCTGGGCAAAAAACTTTTCCAACTTTGGGTTTTTAATTAGAATTTGTTTTCACCACCGGAACTCCGACGCTGTGAAAATTCCCATACCTATGGGGCAATGCATCACCAGTAATAATAAATAAAATACTTTTAGGAATTTCCGTGCAAGAATTGAGTGGATAATTTATGAATATTTTGTAATTAACAGGCGAGAAATTTATCATAAATTTCCATATAATTGCATTTTTATGCCATGAAGTTTTTGGCCTTTTTCCCCATAGCCATTATAAATAAACGTGACGGGAGAGAGTGTTTGGAACAACATAAAGTCAGTGGGTGTAGTCGGTATTTAGGTGATTTTGGCACTCATTGAGAAGAGGATTTCAACAACGTTGTTCTCCCACATTCTGCGCTCTCTATATTTTGATAATATGTTTATTATTTCTCTTCTTGTGGGGTATACATCCTATATCAATAGACTACACTTCATCATTTTGTAAGCAAAAGCTTAAAACTACTTGCATATAGATCTAATAATTACTTGGAAAAGTAGAAAATATAGCTCAACCTTAATTAAAAACATATATGAAAATAATTTAAAGTTTATTTATTATTACTTTAGTAGGCATATAAAGAGTATTTAATTTATTGTTCAATTTCTCCTCCTCCGTTTGTTACTCAGTGCTCAATTTTTGATTGTGTATTTATTTGCCGGTTTATTATGCGTAAATATGAAAATTGCGCACAACTTTGACCATTAAGCGAGATCTTCGCTCTTCAGATGATTCACGGGTCATATTTCGGGCCACGCCCATTTTTGAAAGATACTGATTTTTCACCAACTTGGCCCTGTGCAAATCTCAAGCTGAGTGCGTCGAAATGTTGCTCATTTATTTCATTTAAATGCGCATTTAAATCTATTTAAAACTCCACATGAGCCAGTCACAAAGCCACGCCGCACAGAGGCAAAAACGGAATAAAGGGCAAATAAAAGGCAACGGGGCAGGACAACGCCTGACATGAGCTGAGGGATTCCATCTCCAGCTCCAGCTCCTCCTCCAGCCTCGCCGTCACCCACTTCGTGCCCCATCTTTCCCACTCAGCATGATTTAACGATAATGAAGGTATTTACGAGTTCAGCCTTAGCCCGGGACTTGGGCCCCAGCATTCTTTTTTTTTGGTCCGGGCCAAAAGCAAAACTCATCATAATCCAGCGGCAGGAAAAGGTTATCCAAAACACACAGCGGCACATTCGGCGACTTGTATCTACGTGTGTCCCGGCACTTGTGAGATGTTCTTGCCAAACTTTTTTGTTGACGCCGTTGATAAGGACAACAACTACTCAAAGCCGCCAGCTGAGCCCGAGCCCCGAACCCCGAACCCCAAGCCCCAAGCCCCAAAACCCGAAAGCGCCGTATATATTTATGGATTTAGGCCAAGGTGGCTGCCAAGCCACCAGGCGCACATTGCTTGCCAATAAAACTCAATTTGCCATAAAATTGTTTCACAGTCAACATAATTACAACAGCTAAAGACGAGCATAAATTTGATTTTCCAATTTACGATTAGGCGGAGCTCCATTTTCAGTGCCATTTAATATGGCCGGGCGATGAATGCAAAATGTACACAAAAATATTAATATCTAAGCGTGGAGAATTTAATTTCATTTCTAGGGCAAACACCTTTCGTTTATCGCCTTATCCATCTCGCTCGCACTCAGCTCCTTCTCGCTCCCTCCCCGCACTTGAATGCATCTTTTATTACACCTACAGCGTTTATACGACGCCAATTTCATGAATTGGTCAAAAAAGATTGTGCATAAACACACAAAGTTGACTTTTTGTTCAGAAATCAGTTTATGATGCAGGACACCCTATTTGAATTCACGAATTCTAGATTTCATGAAACACTTGGCATAAACATAAAAGCTGTCGGTTCTCAACGGAGATCCACTTGGCCACTGCGCGGATTTTATTGTCCTGCTCATCGCAAAAGCTGCTACCTGAAAAGCCCGAGGGGTTGGCACGTCTTAGCGCTAGTTTGTGGGAAGAAAGGCAACTTAGCCTGGCCAAAATCGCTTACGCCGCTGACGACCACCGTTTCCAGTTTCACCTTATAAAAAACGTAAAAGTTCAATATTTTATTGGTCGAGTTTAATATCTAATAAAATCGGAGCTATTTCAAATACTATTTAAAGGTATATGTATGTAGTCAGAAGTATTTTACAAAGGTTTCTGTAAATAGATTTTAGTTCAATACATAGCGATACTAACATTGGCTAGTGAGAAAGCGGTGACAACCCTTTGAAATTTGATAATTATTATAATTTGTTTTAGAAATACAAAAATTAATTTATATTTATTTGAACAAAACTTCGTTCCAAGCGAATGTAATTCATGAAAAGTTTGGGGCAGGGGAAAACATTGAAAGTATGGAAAACATAAGAACCAAAGGATACTGCTGTGGGCAAGGCCTAGTTAATTGCACGTCCTTGAGATGCTTTCGCAATCGAAGATTTCTTTTTTCTGTTAAGTGCAGTTTGAGGGTGGTTGGGAGGCAGCCAAATGGAATGGAAGTGCCAGCCCTCGAACAAACGACACAGCAAAGACAATGGCTCACTTACGGCTCTTAGCCCGCTGGCTGTTGGCCAAAATGCATTTGGGCAAGGAAATCCCCTGCTGATTGCCGCTGCTTTGTGGCGGATCCCACAGCTTGCTGGCATTATCCGAATAATCGCAATCACCAGAAAGATGCCTTGGTGCAGCATACGTTGCGTATACGCAACGGAATGCCTTGCCAATGCCTGAAAGGCATTTCATTTGCGCTCCGCGTTTGTGTTGCACATTTTCAATTATAATTATTAACGGATCGCTGTTTGACTTTGGCTTCGTCGGGGGAATTATTTGCATTGTGTTTCCGTTTTTTCTTTGTTGTTTGTTTTTTTTTTTGCACGGCTCTTTGGCGAAATCACCTGAGTAATGCACTTGATGCTTGCGCAATTCCCCCCTTGCATTGTCCTTGCGCGTTCTGCATTATTTTTCTCTACTCCCACTACCAATTGTAGTTGTTCTTATTTTAAGTAGTTGTTGCTGGGGAGAGGCACTTGTAGTTGCGATTGCTGTTTTCCCCCCCATTTCGCCAAAGGCAACTTTTAACATTTAATGATGCTGCTTTGTATTTTAATACGCTTTGCCTGCTTGGCATGCTCATGCCACACAGCCGACCGCCCAGAGCCCACCTGCCCTCCTTTTTTCTACCCATGTTACCGCATCCCCCGTCGCTGCCCTTCGAGCAGCACGTGCCATAAGCAGCGCTTTGAAAACTTTTAAGTAGACAAGCCGTGTTCTCCGCCCCGGAGGTTGCCCATCCTTTCAACATCTTCTATTACTTGTCCTGCCTTTTGCGTTTTAAGTTGTCTGCTCAGTTCCAATTTTTTCAGCCGCCTGCCAAGGTGTTTGAAGCAATTTGCGTCGCCCGTCTCGGGTTGCAGTTGTCCGTCCGTTTGGTTGGCTCTCTGGTCGTCCTGGCCACGTCCTTGACAGCAACTCTTCGGCTCGTCCAACTGCCCACCCCCCGGAGAACGGTGCACAAGACACCATCCCACCAACCACCGCCCACCGCCTCTCGCCGCGTGCGGTGTCCAGATTGTGCCAATTTCACCTGTTGCCTGCAGGGGCAGTCGGACAAAAATACACTAGGGAAAATATTAATAATTGTGGGTCTTCAAGGCACGAGTAACTCGATAGTAGTGACTTTATAAAGGTTACAAAAATCTTGTAACGAACATACCTATGTTGAACACAGAATTAATTGTAGAAGAGAATGTGACGATAGTATTTAAGATCTTAAAAAGATCACTTATAAATAGTCTTAGACATCTCTTATCACTATGGACGGCAGTCCATGTAGTGACGAAGCGCACCAGGAGAGTGTGCGAAGGCGACTACTATTATATAGCCGCAAAATTGAAATTGAAATTGAATTGAATTGAAATTGCTGTGATAGTCCGATCGTAATGAGTAATACACCAATCGAAAGGTATTGCAAAAACTTAAAGGATTGCATACCAAGACTTTAAGAAAATCAATTGGCTTGGGAGAGAGAGCGGTGAAAGTGAAAAAGTGAAAATTTCGAAATTTGGAGCTGTTGGGGCCGGTTGGGATAAATGCCCCCTCGCAATGTTTTAGTTGTATTCCTTTTGAAAATACCCGTCGAATGAGGGGTCATTTGTCAAAATCCGACGCTCCGTTCAAAAGTTATAGCCAAAATAAGATTTCCTTCTTCTTCCCAAAATGAAAATTTAATTCTGTTTGTCAGTTTGTCAGTTTGTCCATAACATGTTTCTTAAGTTTTGAAAATTTAATATGACGTTTATCCCATCGATATAAAAAACTTTTGTTCTACCACTTTTGGAAAAACTCGCTAGTTTAGCGGGAAAACAGCTATAAATAGCTAAAATTCGGAAAACCGTAACTTCTATACTACTAAAGCTACAGACTTGTGCTGCATCTTGTTTGAAAGGTATTTTTAAATGCTATAAACGCCTTCTATATGCAATTTGTGTAAATGTAATAATTAAAAAGATATGAACAAAAGACACTTTTTTA